TCAGTACCTCTGTATTTGTCAAAACAAAAAAAAACAAACCCACTTGAAAACTTTATCTGCATCTGATTTCTGATGTTTGCTGTTGGTCTAAAAACTGAGTGAGGTTCACCCATCAGATACCTCAGTCTGTGTGTATCTGAGGGGTGGGTGGGCTGCGGATGAGCAGGGGTGGGAGCAGACACCACAGGAGGCTTAGGGGCTCCCCAGCCCTGAGCAGGTATGGACAGGAGGAATGGTCTGCCTTGGGGCAGGGGCATGGGACACCAGCGGCAAAGTGTTTTGAGAAAGCACATGATGCTGTTCCAGTGTAATGATTTTGTCTTGCCTCAGCTAATTCTGTCCCTCTTGGTACGCGTAAAATACAGAAATATTCAGGTACTGCTCTAGGTACAAAGAAGAGAGGATTGTGGGGACAGGTTAAGAGCAGAGTACCCTCCTGGTGACGTGGGAAGGACAGGGCATGGGATCAGCCTACGGTCAGTTAATGCACGTGCAGCACCTGGTGTGAATTTGTAAGGCTTTAGCAAAAGTCCCTGAAGTAAACGATAATGCAAAGTTCAGGCAGTTTCTGTGAAAGTGCCAGGAAGGTGATTCTGATGAATATGTCTGACCGGCAAATACAGTGATATATGGAATGGTTTCAGGATTAGTAACTGGTGTGTGGCACACACTGGAGAGGGCAGGGACAGTGAACCCCTTGCTCTTACCCTTACCAAACCAGGACCAACCAAACTTGATTGATTTAGACAGCTTTTGATTTATTTTCTGTGGCTACATCAGACTAGTCTTGTGTCTTGGTTATGGAACATACTTAAGGTCAAGTCTATTATAAAATGGAACAGTATTTTAAGAAGATACTCTGGTTCATTTGTACCAAGGGTATGGTCAAAAATCTCTGAACATAAAGGCTTGTTGCAGTTGAGGAAAGAGCTACTTCATCGGGATTTATTATCTATTACCAATGGAAAAGCATTTGCTAGATCAAACTTTTAATTAACCTCTCATCATGTGCAACTGAATTTTATTTTTCTCTACTTAATGATATTTAAAGACAGTGAAATAAATATAAGTTAAATGAATATATTAAATATTTTCTGCATGTTTTTAATAAAACAGTAGTTTCAGTAGTTTCCAAAAGCTTTTGCTAACAAGTGGAAGAAAAACTGAGACTTGAGATGGTGAGTAAAAGACAACAGGAAAGGCAATACTAGGAAAGCCGTGCATCTGTAATAATTTGTTATGGGAAGTTTTTTTGATATTGTGAATTCAGCTGAGTAGTTCATATTCTTTCTTCATTGAGTGTAGTGAATTCTCTACTAATTCAGACAGATCATGAGGGATAGGTGGTCAAAAGATTTAGATTTTAAATGTCTGGTTTACTTAAGTGCTTATGAATAGATGTGCATTTTTTCTCACTTCAGCTTCTTTTCTTTGTAGGTAATTGAATGGGTCTTCAGAAGCTGAGCTGCTAAAACTTACAGAAAAGTAAGTATGTGGATGTTCATTGTTTTTCACAAAAATGTATATCTGAATTAGTGCTACCTCTGTTTACAGTTAATAAACCCTTTTGTCATGTTGAGTCTTAACATCTGTTCTAATCAATATTTTTATATAGCTTCATAAGTCAATTTCCAGTTAAGTGTTTTTATTTTGTAAAAGTAGAATGGTGAAATGATTTGGGCTAGAAGGGACCTTTAAAGGTCAGCTAGTTCAGCTCCCCTGCAGTGAACAGGGACATCTTTAGCTAGATCAGGTTGCTCAGAGCCTCATACAGCTTGACCTTGAACGTTTCCAGGGTTGAGGCATCTACCACCTCTCTGAGCAGAGAGGTGTTCCAGTGTTTCACCACCCTCATCATAACAAAAGTCTTCCTTGTATCTAGTCCATCTACCTTCTTTTAGTTGAAAATCGTAATCTCTTGTCCTACTGCAACAGGTCCTGCTAAAAAGATTATCTCCATCTTACTGACAGACCTACTTTAGCTATTGAAAGGCCACAATAAGGTCTCCCCAGAGCTTTATTTTCTCCAGGCTGAACAACTCGAAATCTCTCAGCATTTCTTCATGAGAGGTGCTACATCCCTCTGATCATTTTTGTGGTCCTACTCTGGACCTGTTCCAACAGGTCTATGTCTTTCTTGTGCTGAGGACTCCAGAGCAGAGTAGACTGGATGCAGTACTCCAGGTGGTGTCTCACCAGAGCAGAGGGCCAGAATCACCTCTCTTGACCTGCTGGCCACGCTTCTTTTGATGCAGCCCAGGATGCGGTTGGCCTTCTGGGCTCTCAGCACACATTGTTGGCTTACGTCCAGTTTTTCATCCATGAGTACCTCCAAGTCCTTCTCTGCAGGGCTACTCTCAATCCCTTCATTCCCCTGCCTATGTTGATACTGGGGATTGCCCTGACCCAGGTGCAGGACCTTGCAGTTGGCGTTGTTGAACCTCATGAGGTTCACCTAGGTCCGCTTCTTGAGTTTGTCCAGGTCCCTCTGGATGGCATCCTATCCCTTAGGTGAGTCAACTGCACCAGTCAGCTTGGTGTCATCTGCAAACTTGCTCAGGGTGTGCAGAGAGAGAGCAAAAGTTAGTCACAAAGTCCAAGTCATGTACACCAGGTAGCTGCATACCTGGAAGCATGAAACTCAGCACTGGGCGAGGTGGCAAGCACTGGGCGAGGTGGCAACCATCACTAGATCAATATCTGGTGTTATCTGGATGCCTGGAGGAGTGTGAGATGAGGCGGAAGCTTCGTGGTCCCAGCCCCCCATTTCTTTCCACCTCGAAGGAGCCATTACCCATGCAGGTGTGACTTAATGGACTTTGTGACATTCACATAACTGATAAGGTTGTCTATAGTCATCCCCACCCGCATGTATGCCCTG